AGCTCCCGAGCCGCAGTTTGGCCACCCCTGCCCTAGAGAAAAAGCCTGCTTTGGAGGGTGGGCTTCATGGCATTATACACCTCTGAGGTCTGTCCCCTCTCCAAATGTCACCTTCCCCAGGCTCCATCCCCAAAGTCTTAAGGAATTTTCCAGTCTGGAGCTGGCAGCCCTATAATCCACATGCAAAACAGGCACTCAGCCACTGCATCACAGCCCCTCCCAATATCAGCCATCCCAAACCAGGAAGCTCCGTTCATTAGTGCTTCCTGTTTTCCCTCCACATACACATGTGTGCCCAAACACAGCCAACAGGCACACAAAGGCTTTTGTATTCTGAAAAGTGGTGGCTTTTCCTTTTGTTTTGATGTTTGCAAGTAATCAGGAATAATGGAGCTGCTAAGAATCTGGAAACTCCAGTGTTATCTTTCAAAATTAATAGTTTCCGCTGCTGGTAGTTATCGTGCTGCAAGAACAAATTGTGCAAATGAATTCTTTAAATAGGAAACCAGGAAACATTGCACTGTGCACTGGGAACTGGACTTTGAAATGCCCATCCATCTCTGTACGGCAAAATGCCAGTTGCTCCCTTGGTATTATTAATTACGTTTCGGTAGCATATATTAAATCTTCTTTGTTAAATAAGCAGTAGAGCCTGTCCAGGCAGCTTTATCTATGGATATCTACCAAGCTTACTGAAGGCATCACAAAGCACTGCCAACCCTACCAGTGTTCCCTCTAAGCTGAGCTAGTGTGAGCTAGCTCACAGTTCTTTAGCCTCCAGCTCACACATTTGTGTCTTCACTCAGGAAGGACGGCTCCAGAGCAAACTAATTTATGTAGCAGCCAAATCGCTTGCTCACAACTTTAATGCCAGTAGCTCACAAAGTAGAATTTTTGCTCACAAGACTCTACAGCTTAGAGGGAGCATTGGACCCTACCCAACTGTGCTACTTTTTGTTTTTCTCCTGGGATCAAGGGCAGCCGAATCAGGCAGAAATCAATGGGATTTCCAAACTGGAAACCAAAGGGTATGGATTACTCTAACATTTTTACCTCAATGCTCATTCCCATACTTTACATCCAAACCCTGCCCTCAGCCTGAAAGTCATCTCTTATTGGTAATAGCCCAGTTAGTGTGTGGGGATATCAGCTTTTCCTCCTAAGGAACTACTCAGAGAGAGAGAGAGAGAGAGAGAGAGAGAGAGAGAGAGAGAGAGAGAATACAGCAGGCACTGTATTATACAATGCATTTTACCTTTGCATCCTTTACGAGCATTATTTACGAAATCTCTCCTACCTTCTGACTGGGATAAAAATAATTCAGATCTCCATTCCTACTCACGTCTAATAAAGAAAGCTTTGACTCTTGAAAGTGGTTTATACCAGGGGTGTCAAACATGCGGCCCAGGGGCCGGATCAGGCCCCCGGAGGGCTTCTGTCAGGCCCGCAGTGCAACTGGCTGTCTTCTGCTTCTTCTTCCAGTTCTGCTGCTGCTGCATCTTGGTAGGTTTGCAGCTTACAGATACACACCTGAACAGCATACTCAGGATTGCAACAGCACAGACATTTTGATGTAATAATTCAGAGCAAGAGGTGTCAGTTATCAGGCACTGTTAAATGAACAAAATATTGCAAGAGGGCTAATGTTTTAAGCATGATTTTATTTTAAGTTTTAAAAAAACCCTTTCTGTTTATGTCCTTTATAAAGTTTATATCTCCGCTACCTGGCATTCCATTTTATGACACACATGGCCCGGCCCAACAAGGTCTCATTTATGTCAGATCCGGCCCTCGTAACAAATGAGTTTGACACCCCAGGTATAGATGTTCCAGAAAAGTTGGGTGGTTACCATCAAATACTCTGTCCTTAAATACTCCTGCAAGGAGGTAGAGATGCAAGCCCTTCCAGGAGCAGGCAAGGAATTCTTGAAGGTGCTATATTTGGTTACAGTGGTGAGTGTTCCAACATGATTGGGGTCCTTTTTGGCTTTGTAGGGCTTGAGGGATCAATTGAGATGATCCTTCAGATGCTGCAGTGGGCTTTGGTGATGGGGAGGGCTCAGGAATCAAGCCTGAGTCAGAGCATCAAACGGGGTTCCTGGAGGTATCTCAACAGCCTCCTTCTGTGGTGGCATCAGATACTTGTCCATTTCTTTTCTGTGTCTTCAGTCTCTTTGCCTGATGCAAGAAGTCCACACTCTGGGCTATGTTTGTTTCAGAGAATGTAGGAGAGGCTCAGTTTCCTTAACAAAAGGAAGATACTGTTGTTTCTTGAATCTATCCAGGAAAAAAAATTTGAACAACCAATCTCCATTATATCTCTTCCACAGGAAGAGGGGAGAAAACAAAACTGTCTCTTGCATATAGCAGTCTACCGAGCACAGAGTCTATATGTTACCTAATTACTCAACTAATTTACTTAATAGTTTCTGGTGATGCTTAATTGCACTTGATTTCTTAATTATGAGATGCAGAATAGCTTACAACTAAATTGTTCTGCCTTCAGTATTACTTCTGCACCAGCTCTAACCGTAATATCCACTTGTGTTTCGCTATGACTGTTCATTGGGAAAAGTTTTATTTTGGATTGCACAATATAACTCTTTTATCTCTCTCCGTATATGTTACACTGTAGTAGCCTGCCAGCCTAGTGTTTTGGAACCATAATTCATGTAATTGTTGTATTGTGTGAACTGGCCAACAAATCGACAAAGTTCAACTACTGTTCACTGGAACAATAACTGTGCCACCCTGGGACACTGACCAATTTACACAACACAATGATTGTGCGAATCACACTACCAAACTGTGCAGCTGGTGGGCTCCTGAACTGTGTGAATGGAACACCATGTATCATCTTCAGAGGCTCATGTGTGGAAGTTTAACCAAAGTTCTCCTAACTGCATATCCATATTTGGAGGAGTGAATTTTTCCCATTTTAAAATTAGTTTCAGTTATATTTTTGTTATGTATTAAGCCCAAGCCTTTCCTAAAGCTGTGCCTAGAACGGGCTGAGCTTGCTTCACCAGAACAATAGCTTGCCTGGATCCAGGAACTAACCTATAGATATTCAGTGTAATGTAAATAGCCTATCACTGGGAGAGGGTGGGTGTTGGGTGTGGCGTTTTGCATGCTTTTAAGCAGGTCTCCAGACCCGCTAGAGTTGTCTTGCAGTTTGCTGAAATCACTGAATAAACTAGAGCTGATCACTGCAATATGTCTAGAACCCAGTATTTAATAATTTCTGTCAGCTGTTTCTGTGTAGTTTATATGTTGTGTGTATGTACATATACACATATACACACACTAGAGATGCCAGCCTCCAGGTGGGGGCTGGGGATCTCCTGGAATTAGCTCTTTCAACTTTCCCCAGCTGCGATCATGTGGATTGAAAATGTAGCTATTAGTATTTAAGGGGATTGCTCAATCTGTCTGTTTACCTGTTGTATCAGCTTGGTTATGTATTTTATATTATTATATGCTTCTTGTGTGTAATTCTGCCGTACAATAAATAAATAAATAAATAATCCAGACTACAGTTCCCCTGGAGAAAATTGATACTTTCGAGGGTGGACCCTATGGCATTGTACCCCACGGAGGTCCCTATTCCTCCCCAGGCTCCACTCCCAAATCTCCAGGAATTTCCCAACCTGCATCTGGCAACTCTAACACAAAAAAACTATATATGCACTGTACATCATTTTATGCAGGGGTCATTTCCTGCAGGAGCTGCATGTGAAGGAATGGGGGATCAAACCCAGTTCTCCCAGATTAGAGTCCGTGCTCCTAACTACTACACCAAACTGGCTCTCTTGTTGAGCCTGTGAACGCTTTTGGAAGTTGGGAAACAGGCAGGGTCATTTCGTAGAAAAAGAGGTGCAGGATCTCATTAGCATAACTCATTAGCATAACTTATTTGCATATGCCTCACCCCCTGACATCATCGGAAGTGTGCACTGGACTGTTTTGGATTCCTAGCTATTGGGGGGGGGAAACGCACAGATCTGCCCTCACATAGGAGGAAGAGCTTGTACCTGAATAAAACTTGGTCTTAAAGGTGCCACTGGACTGTTTTGGTCCGGGGGGCCGGGGGGTCTCTGCAGCTTACCTGGCTGCTTCTTGCTCTGACTGAGGGCTGCTGGGAGCAAGGGGTGGGGCTTGTTGCATGTGACCACCCCCTGGGCTCTTTACTGCCGGAGCTCCGCTCCTGTGTGCTCCTGCAGGAAATGACCCCTGCTAGTCTTAATGATGGTTTCACAGGGACTATGGATGCAGATTTTATGGCTTGTTCCACAATGATGTCTGCCTGAACTAAAGAAAGAAGGCAATTAAACCATCAGTGCTCAAGGCAAACCAGGATTTGGTCATTGGTGAGATGGAACCTGGTCTCACAAACTAGCCACAGTTACAATAAAATGTGGCTTCACATTAGGTCTGAACCGAATTCCTGTTGTCCTAAGAATCCAGAATTCAACGACAGACTGTCAGATTCCAAAGTCTCTGGTGCTTCATTGTCGTAAAGATTGTTGGTTACTTGTGAAACCAAGTGTTGTGTGCGCACCTGGAATAACATCCCCAACTGAAACAGTTTAGTATCCCTGATCACCACTAGTGTCCCTGATCACTACAACAGTCTCGTGTCCCTGATCACCAAATGCTGATCACCACTTTGGGGTCAGAAAGCCATTTTTCTCCAGGCCAGTTTGACCAGGGATCTTGGAGGTTTTTTGTCATCTTCTGTGGATGGAACAGGGGTCATTGGGGGTGCAGGGGGGGAGGTATTTGTGAATTTCCTGCATTGTGCAGGGGGTTGGACTAGATGACCCTGGAGATCCCTTCCAACTTTGTGATTCTATGATTCTTTAGAATGAAATGAAACCACCATTTTCAAAATATTTAAAGTTTTCATGTTGCATTTTTCTTTTTAGGACCCCAGCCATGATCGGCTGTTCTTTTGTTGTGAACCGGAAGTTCTTTGGAGAAATAGGCCTTCTGGATCCAGGAATGGACGTTTATGGTGGGGAAAACATAGAGCTTGGTATTAAGGTACGTTTGACACCCCTGGATTAAAAAGTGTCTGCCTGTCTCTGTATACACTCCTTTCCTTTAGACTTGGAGCCCACGTATGGCAGGTTTGGTTTTAAAAGGAAAAAAGGAGGAGGATGGTCTGGGGAACATCTAGATTGGGTCTTAAATGGTTCCTCCAATGTTGGTAGAGAAATAATAGTGGTTGTTTCGGTTGGAACTTCAGGTAGGCTTTTTTGTCATGGTAAGGGGAGTCCAGACAGTGGGAGCTGGTAAGCTTTGCAGAAAGAATGTCTCTGAGAGAGAGGGAAGACAAACTGAGAAGGAGAGAGAGTTGTAGGTACAGGGACACTGGTGTGGCAGACATCATGGAGACTCCATAACAAAGGAGTTTGTATGGAGATGTGGGAAGAGTCATATGAGAGCCAGCCTGACATACTGGTTAGACTGTTACTGAGCCAGGAAACTCATTGGGTGACCTCAAAGCAGTCATTCTCTCTCAGCCTAACCTACCTCATCTCCGTGAGCTTCTGAAGAGGAAGGCTGGGATGCAGGGCTTTTTTTGTAGAAAAAGCCCAGCAGGAACTCATTAGCATAATAGGCCATACCCAACAGCAGGAACTCATTAGCATATTAGGCCACACCCTGACAGCGCAGCTCATTTGCACATTAGGCCACACCCCCATGTTACCAGAAGTGTGCTCATCCAGCCACACCCACCTTTTGCTTCTTATTCTCTTTACCTTGTTTGTTGTCAAAAGCCAGGGCTTTTTGCATGTTAGGCCACACACCCCTAATTGTAGCCAATCCTAATGAGTTGCTGCTGTTGGGTGTGGCCTATTATGCTAATGCATTTCTGCTGGGCGTAGCCAACTCGGGAGCCAGCCGGAACTCCGTTCCTGTGCGTTCCTGCCCAAAAAGAGCCCTGCTGGGATGTAAGTTGGATAGGGAGCAGTTAAAATCAATGAACTAGAGAAGCTTGAAGTAAATAAGGAGCTGTAAGAAGCAATCCTCATCTCAATAGGCTCAGTATGGTGTACTGGATAAAGTGTTGGTCTAGGATCTGGGAGGTAAAGGTAAAGGTTTCCCTTGCTCGCAGGCCAGTCGAATCTGACTCTAGGTGTCGGTGCTCATCTCTGTTTCCAAGCCAAAGAGCCAATGCTGTCACCAAAGGAGTACCTATTTATCTACTTGCAACTTCTTGCTTTCGAACTGCTAGCTTGGCAGGAGCTGGGGCCAGAGACGGGAGCTCACTCTGTCATGCGGCACTCGGGTCTCGAACTGCCGAACTACCGACCTTCCAGTCTGCAGCTCAGCATCTGAACCTCCAAGCCACCGTAGCCCCTAGGATCTGGGAGACCCACGTTCAAATCCCCATTCTGCCACAGAAACATGCTGGTGATCTTGGGTCGGTCATTTACCCTCTCGGCCTAACCAACCTCACAGGGTTGTTGTGAGGATCAAACAGGGAGGAAAAGAGAATAATGTAAGCCACTTTGAGTCCCCATTGGGGAGAAAGGCAGGATTAAATACAGTAAATAAACCAGCAAATAAATACAGTAGGTCCATTCAGAAGTAAGATCCATTTTATTTAAAAGGATTAGTCCCCGGAAAGTGTTCTTAGAGTTGCAGCTGTAGTTTTGCAGTGCAATCATAACAGAGTCAGTGGGCTTGGAAAGGCATAGCTCTATCTAGGATTGCACTGCCATGAAGTTACGGGAGAGGGAAAGAAAGGCTAGTGTGCATTGCTGGAGCAAAACGTTCTAGCAGCGAAACAAAGCCAACGCTGACTATTGATTTAAAGAAGATTAACATTGTGGATATTTGCTCTTACCGTTAAACAAATAAATTTTCGTTAAATTTAGAATGGACGATATTGCCGTCACAGGAAGTTTTAAAACGATAGGTGAAAGTGTAATAAGCGAGTCAACATGGAATTATAATTCTTTTTCAAGGGAGAATTAATCCATGACTAATTACTGCCTAAAGAACAATGCTTGCTTCTCTGCGCGAAGAACATGACAGATATAAATAGCTCAAGTATCTGCATATGCCGTTCCCATTATACTTGTAATATTAGCGCGGCTTGTATAATGATTCCTAGGAACAATATGTTTAATTGGGTGTATTCTCATTAAAATAATTTTGTTCTGGAATGCAGCGGATGTATTAAAATGTATTCCTGGATAGGTCTTGATCATATCCTTCCTTTCCATTCAGTGTAACACTCAGGGGTATTTTTGGGCAGGAACGCACAGGAACGAAGTTCCGGCTGGCTCCCGAGTTGGCCACGCCCAGCAGGAACTCATTAGCATAATAGGCCACACCCAACAGCAGGAACTCATTAGGATTGGCTACATTAGGGGTGTGTGGCCTAACATGCAAAGAAGTTCCTGCTACAAAAAAAACCCTGGGTTTTGACAACAAACAAGGTAAAAAGAATAAGAAGCAAAAGGTGGGTGTGGCTGGATGAGCACACTTCTGGTAACATGGGGGTGTGGCCTAATATGCTAATGAGTTCCTGTTGTTGGGTGTGGCCTATTATGCTAATGAGTTCCTCCTGGGCTTTTTCTACAAAAAAAGCCCTGGTAACACTGATATCCCCCTCCAATGGATTGCCAGCTCCGAGCTGGGAAATTTGTGGATGTTTGGGGGCTGACACTGGGGAGGGCAGAATTTGAGAAGGGAGCTCATCGGGGATGTGATGCTGCAGGGACTCTGTCCTCCAAAGCTGCCGTTTCCTCCAGGGTTGCTGAATTATGTAGTCTGGAGATGCTGCAACTCTGGGGAGAAGGCCAGGCTCCACCTGGAGGTCGGCATCTGGACCTCACAGCCATCCTGTGAGGTACGTGAGGCTGGGTGAATGGTCCAAGGGTGCATTGTGAGCTTCATGGCTGAATTTTAACTCTAACTGTTAGACAACACTGCCTCTCACCTTATGGCCAAGAGGAAGAGGAGGAGGAGGAAAAAGAAGAGATTGGATTTATACCCCGCCCTTCACTACCCGAAGGAGTCTCAGAGCGGCTTGCAGTCCCTTTCTATTGTGTAGTGGGTTTGCCGCATTGACGAAAGACAAAGACTGGCATAGTGCATAGCATGCTTTATTGGCACACAACAAGACAAGACCAAAACGGCCGGCTGACCAACTATATACCGTATTTTTCGGACCATAAGACGCACCTAGTTTTTAGAGGAGGAAAACAGGGAAAAAAATATTCTGAACCCTGGGGCTGTCATTCCAGTTCCTGAAAGGGTTAAAGGGCTCAAGGCCAAACAAGATGTCCCAGGCAGCCTACAAGGAAAAAAATCAGAGTCTCCCATCAAAGCTTCCAAATGTTTCAAGGGCTGTGTTAGAGAGAAGCCCAGACCCCCCCAGACCAGCTGCTTCCTATGAACCCCTGGGGCAAAAGAGGTAGCATGAATCCCAACATCTAGACCCACAAGCAAACAGTGATTTCCTGCCCCTAGTTCCAAAGGAGAGAAATTCGCAGCTTTCCAGGAAGAAGGCACAAGTCATTCAATGCACTCAAAAGATAGAGAAGTTTGCTTTTAGGCTGTTCAAAGAGCAGCAAACAAATCTCCGGAGACAAGGCAGAGAGCCACAGATCCTCAGCACCCCCCCACACACCCATCTGTTAAAAAGGAGCTTGAACTTACATTCAGCCTTCTTCCCCCCCCCCTCCCAATGGAACAGTCTGCTCTTCCCTTAATTTCTGTGTGATTTGGTTGGGTCCTCTTGGAGCTTGGTTTACTTTCGTTTTTTATGTGCTTAATGGACCTGAGAACGTGCTGTTTAAAATGTAAGTTCAAGCCTTCCCATGGGCTCCGTGGGCTTGGGGGGGGGGGGGAAGGCAGTATTCGCACCATAAGACGCACACACTTCCCCCCCACTTTTTTTTTTGGGGGGGAAGTGCGTCTTATGGTCCGAAAAATACGGTACACCCCTGGGCCACACCCCTGGGTTCCGTTGGTGGGTTTGAATCTCCCGCCACGGTTCCCATTGGCTCCCCCAGTGGAGGGACTAGGAGCCTAGTCCCTATTGTTCTCCCAGAGTCAAGCTCTGGGGTAATCGCTGGCCCTAGTGCCGGTCAGCGGACACAACACTTTCCCTTCCCCTCCCCACAACAGACACCCTGTGAGGTAGGCGGGGCTGAGAGAGCTCTTTTGAGGACTGCTCTTTCAAGAATAGCTCTGACGGAACTATGGCTTGCCTAAGGTCACACCAGCAGCTCCATGTGGAAGAGTGGGGAATCATACCTGGTTCTCTCAGACCACTACACCAAACTGTTGGTTTTATGATACAATGATGTTTTCCCAGAGGGTGCAGCATCTCTCTGTTAGAGCAGCTGCCCTTTGAGGATCAGCTAAAATGCTTAGGGCTGTTTAGCTTAGGAAAGAAAGTTGAGTAAGGGGAGACAAGATAGAGGTCTATAAAATTATGCAGGGCGTAGAGCGAGTGGACACGGAGAAGCTCTTCTCCCTTTCCCTTAATAATAGAACCTGGGGTCAGCCACTGAAGCGGAAGGGTGGCAGATTCAGAACAGACAAAAGGAAGTACTTCTTCGCACAGTTAAACTGTGGAACTCATTGCCACAGGATGTGGTGATGGCTACCAACTTGGAGAGCTTTAAAATGGGAGTGGACAGGGGAGGACAAAGCTATAAACAGCTACTAGTAATGATGGGTATCTACTCCCCCAGGTACCAGAGGCAGGATAACTCTTGTTATCAGTTGCTAGGGGGACTCAGGCGGGAGGATGCTGTTGCAGTCATCCTGCTTGTGGGCTTCCTGGGGGCAGCCAGTAGGCCACTGGACATGATGGGCCTTTGGTCTGATTCAACATAGTTGTTCTTAGGTTCTTTATATCCTCATGTACATACTGGCATAGATAGCAGTGGTAGGGGTGTGTATCTGTGAAAGATCTCAGCTTAAAGTCTGGAAGAAGGAGGAATTAAGTACACTGTGCCAAGTGATTTGGCCATTGGCACTGTGTGGTGTAGTGGTTCAAAGTGCCAGACTAG